TTATATTGACATAACAATAATAAATATCATAAATGTTCATATGTTTTTGAGACAGCTGTAAATCATCTCATATAAATTTATGATCTTTATGATAGATTTGGCAGAAGTCAAAGTTATTAAGTGGCACAGTGTTTCACAGAAACGTTAGCAGTTTAAATAAAAAGCTTAGCTCTTATTTCCACTGAATTCCCCTCATTTCAGGAACTCAGTTATCTCTTTTGTAGGCTTCGTTTTAAAGCATAGACTTATGAGAAGTGATCCAACAAAAGGGAGAAAATAATATCCTTATCGTGAGTTATGCTCCGATAACAGCAAGGGAATGCCCTGACCAGTGGCTGACATCTTGATCTGTTGACCCTGTGATCACACACGCTTGTGGTGACTGTATGAAGTTCAGTCCTCTTTCAGTGAATTCCGTCTCTCTGGGTGATGGTTTGCCATGTTATCCTCTCGTCTCATGCCAGCTGACTGTTAATGTCACACCGGTGTAACCAGTCTACAGCGTGGTGCCAGTTGAGCAGGGCGACAACATGTCTCACTATCAACAGGCATTTGCTTCTCAAGGAAAGGAAATTGGGCCGTCCATTAGAAGTATCATTTCTGTTTCAGCTCCTTGGGAGTCATCCGCTGTAGCTTGTGCTTTGCTGGCTATCTTGCCCTGGGTGCCTTTCTCTAACATAAGTAATAACTGCGGCAAGTCTAGCTTTTGTTTCTTTCTCACAGGGAGTCAGTTATTTTACAGATAGACTGAAAATTCCAGTTGCTTCTGCCTTCTTCTGGATTCCAAAGCCTGCTGGACCCAGTTCCTCACCTGCTTATTCTATTATGTGTATCTATCTATCTATCTATCTATCTATCTATCTATCTATCTATTATCAGTCCCTAGAGCTGTTTGACTCCTTTCTGGCCATGGCTTTATTGTTTCAATCATTTATTTTTATGTTTAGCCTATCATGGTTCTTCCCTTTGAACAGGCAAGTCTTCAGAGTATCTTTTAACAATAGTGTTTTTGCTTGAAGTTCTCCAGTTTTGTCTGAACTGACTCTTCCCGTTGCATTTCCAAAACAGCTGCTTAAAGCAAAGGCTCACGTGACCCTGCTTATCTAAATGCATCAGATTCCTGCATCTTTGGACTTTCAGCTAAGAAATCGAATCTCCATCAGAGCTATTGCTGTTCTGCAGGCGATGCCCTGAATAAATCATTCGTTTCTTCAGCTTTAGTTGGTTCATGAGGCTAATTCTATGAAAGAATATATCAAATATGACTTTACTTGCAGCTTTTTTTAAAATACTTTGGAGGCCTGCCACTCAGCTCCTGAATAAATACACGGAGACCTATTCTTATTTATGAATGCCCAACATTAGCTTGGCTTGTTTCTAGCCAGCTTTTCTAATTTAAATTATCTGATTTATCTTTAACTACATTTTGTGTCTGGGCTTTTAACCTTTATTCCGTATATCTTTCTTTCCTTCTTTCTCAATAACTGGCTGTGGCTGGGTGGCTGGTCCCTAGAGTCCTCCTTTTCTTGCTCCTCACTCTCTTAACTAAATTTCTCCCCATATTTATTTTCTCTGCCTGCCAGTCATGCCTATTTCTCTCTCCTGCCTAGCTATTGGTCATTCATCTCTTTATTAGACCAATCAGGTATTTTAGACAGGCAAAGTAACACAGTTTTTCAGAGTTAAACAAATGCAACGTATCTTTATGTCATTAAATAAATATTCTACAACATAAGGAAATGTAATACATCTTAAACTAGTATTCCATATTTACTATCTTAAAATTTTCATATATATGAGAATTTATATGAATTTTTCATATACATTTATATACATACATGTACACACACACATACATACCCCACATACACCTTGATGTTGATTTCTTCCCAATCTGCAGAAACTCACAGAGCAGAAGAAAGTGACTGATAAACTGCCAGTATAGACAAAAGAGTCTTTCAAATTTCCTGCTTCATGGAAAAGTCTGCTAGATACTATGGGCCTATAGGCTGAAGATGAATGCCCCAACATTACAGAAGAACTTTGGGTGACCCTTTAGGCAATGAGATGTCTCTTTCAATTCTAGAGTTTTGGAAGTTGCTTTTAATGCACTTCCTGTTTACTTAGGTAATATATCCTTCTGGAGTTGTTGATGAATTTGAAAAATAAATAGTTATAATTATAGTTTTCCTTAGTTATGATAAGAAATAAAATAGATATAAAACTTTGAGCTCATAAAGATAGGATGGATGATAGAGTATTTTCCTTAATTTTCCAAATAGTAAATGGATTAATAATTTAACAATAATTCTTGCTTGATAACTGTTTTGTATATGTAGTTTTACTATGTTAAAGTTAAAAACCTTACTTTTATTTAGACAGAAAGGAGGAGATGATGTGGGATGTGCTTCTGTATATGTGTTGCTCTTATTGGTTAATGAATAAAGCTGCTTTGGCCTGTGATAGGGCAGAATATAGCCAGGCTAGAAGAGATATCTAGAGAGAGTAGGTAGAGTCAAAGAAATGCCATTTGCTGCTGAAGGAGATAATTGCCAGAACCTTACCGGTAGGTCATAGCCTTGTGGTGATCCACAGATTAATAGAAATGAGTTCATTCAAGATATAAGAGTTAGCTAGAAATATACCCAAGTCTTTGGTCAAACAGTGTTGTAATTACTATAGTTTCTGTGTAATTGTTCAGATCTGGGCAGCTGGGAAATGATCATACCGTCTCTGTTTACAGGAATTTATGAGACCTGAAGTGAGTGCTAGGATATGAGCTCCCATTCTCCTAATAGAGCGTCATGTGCTCTGAGCAGCTCTCATCCTCAAACATTGTAGTTGTTAATTATGAATACTCAGCCAGGAAACTCCTCATCAATTAACAAATTGATTTTTTTCAGTTGTACCCAAAAGTGGTATTATTTTTCTGGTTACTGAAAAAGTTCGATAGTGTTTGAATACAAGGATCTCATCTCATATTTTATTGGGGCTCCAGCATTCCTGCAAACTGCTTGCTGAAGTTGGCCATGGGGATTACAGTTTGTAGCCTGGAAGAGAACATGTGGTCACTATAAATGACATTTTGATGCTGTCGAGAGCTGGTGAGACTTGAATGTGCTTTTATGGGAATCCCTCACTGGTGACAACTTCTATGGTACAAATTATTAAGAACATTGTGTTTACATTTGTTCTCCTTGTAAATGTGCCTTATGAGCATGCACTGTGGGTTTATATAGGGTGTTAGGAGGCAGAAAAGGTTATTGTTCCCAAACCAATAACAACCCAGTAAGGAAAACAAATTATCAGTGGATTTCAGGAAACTGTGACATGTTTTTGGACCTCTCTGCCTCTGTCTGAGTCACTTTTATTTGAAGCTTACTTAAATTTCATTCTTTATTTTCAGGATGGGGATAAAGGACTGAGTTTTCTCCATCTTTGCTTCTGTAACAAAATGAATTTTTGTCAATATAACACAATGAAAGCAATAATGATTTTTCTTCAACTAATTATAGAATGAATATAGTTCTTATTGGAAAGACACTCTATTTGTATATCTTGTGAGAGAGTAAAACTGTACAAAGTGAATGATTAGAGTTCATTCAGATCTTAAAATATTAGGTTAGAAACTAGCTTAAATATTAAAAGGCTCTAGTGAATAAACCCACTGTTGGTTGCTATGGTGATTTAGCATTATAACTGATCACTGTGCTGGCTTTGCTACTTGTGGTATTTAGTGAAAATGTGATAGCAAAAATTTGCACACTGATACCCTCAAGTTTTCTAGTATTTCATTTTACAAAGATTCTGTAAATGTGCATAGAAAATACATATTCATGCCTAGGAAGAAACCTGTTTGCTACCAATGACTAGCTCTAAGTAACTGCATGGTACATTCTGCTATATTTGTGCCTATATTGAAAATGTAGGGTGCTTTTTGGTAGGATGGCCGTTTTTACTATATTAATCCTACCAATTCATGAACATGGGATATTTTTCCATCTTCTGATATTTTATTCAATTTTTTCTTCAATATTTTAAAAATTTTAATCATGCAAGTCTTTCACTTGCTTCGTTAGAGTTACCCCCAAGATATTTTGCATATTTAAAGACATTGTAAAAGGTGTTGTTTCCTGATTTCTTTCTCAGCCCATTTGTCATTTGTATACAGGAAGGCTACTGACTTCTGTGAGTTGATTTTGTATTCAGCTACTTAAGTTACTAATATTCAGAGATAAATTCATCATTAAGTTTTGGACCATTGAATTAGTCTTTTGATTTGGGGACTAACTTAAGAAATAGGAAAGGCTCATCAAATCAAAAAGCCAAGAGACAGAAACCAAACAAAATGAGGAGAAAAGAAAAATTCTCAGCCCCCAAAGGGCTTTTGTGAAGTGGGGTAGGCCTGTATTCCCACGGGCTCTAACAAAGTGGTAGACATGAGTACCTCTTCTTCCAAACCCTTTATACAGCCTGTGAGAAGGCACTGGGCACCATCATAAGAAAGATTTGGCAGCCACTGGCTCTGTACATAGGCTCATGGAAGGGAGGCTGCTCCCCTCTTAGGAGTCACAAAGATTACCCTAACAGTGAAGCAGGGCTTGCCAGTGACAAGCTCTAAAACCCTTGAGCAGCAATAACAAAAGTTATTGGCAAAGGCAGGAAATTCAATTAATACCGAAGGATGCTTATGCCTTGACACTGGGGGACCGATGACATCACTCATGGCTGAGCTGTTTTCCTGGTGTTCCTTTCAGGATGCTGAAGGCAGACAATCCTGGTTGTCAAGTACAGGGCCTTCCTATGTATTTCCTTAAGCTTTTCATTCCTTTCAGAAGGAAACAGCCCAGTTGTCTCCCTGTCCTTCTCAACTCTATCTCACAGCTGTTATATAAGCATATGCCAATTGTTTAAAATTTTTCTATTTATGCCTTTAAAATCGTTAGCATTATAAGGAGGACCAGCGCATTTCTAATGAGTTATATCAACTTATCTTTCAGAAACCGACGAGAAGAGGATGACCAACACTCAAGAAGTAAGTTTTCCTATATTCTGTATCAATGTGTTAAAACATAGCTGTGATATCACTGCGTTTTTGTTTTATTTTTCTTTTCTCCTTATTCTGAGAATCAGAAGTAGGCTCTCACACACAGGCATATTCTTCACAGAGCTACATGCCCAGCCCAGGATATTAGTTGGAACACAGTTTGTGGGTGCCAATCCACATTAACGTTAACTGTGTGGTTGATAACACACCAATAACATAAGCAGTTGACATAAATAGATATCACTGTGATACAGAAAGCATTCAGGTTGCTTTTCCTGAAAGAACAGGTTCCCATCCTCTGTGGAAACACAGGAAGAACCTCTTTTCCAAAACAACATATCCTTAGACCCAGATTCCGAAATCAAGGTACCTTTAGTGTATATATGTTGGTTTAGTTTAGCAGTCTGTACAATGAAATGTCTCTCTGTAAGTTAGTTTCTTCACAGTCAAGAAATTCAAAGAAAACTCAATAATATACATAATACAGACTCTTTTTGTATTTTACATCTTTATGTTGCTTGCTTTTCTTTTTTTTTTCTTTAATCTATTACTGTTGTACTCTCTCTCCTTAAAGACTTTGTTTTATTTTTTTAAAAACGATTTAGTCCTTTTTATAACTCTCTATATTCTTTTTTCTTCTCTCTCCACAGCCTACATATATTTATCCAACACTGTGACCAACTTAAAGGTCTTTTTAATTTGAATCTGTTTTTATTGTGTATCTGTAATTCTTTTCTGACCAGGATTGCTTCTTAAAATACTAAGCCGGTGTGGCTAGGGCCAACACACCCTGGCTACTTGCTCCGCCGGGTCCAAATGGTGGAGATATGTTCGCTGCCCCTGAGAGTCATGTATATTGTCCCATTTTTAGGCACATAGTGGGTCTATGTTGCCGTTAAGCAGTTTGTAGCACTCTGCCAAACCCCATTTAAATGCTCTGCATTGGACCTCCCGGCAGAGTTAGAGCCATTTGTGCTGGTGAACCAGGAAGCCACTGCTTTTTTTTTTTAAAAAAAAAAAAAAAGAAGAAGAAGCAGTTTTTGTTTGTTTGTTTGTTTTGCTGCCACTGAATTAGGAAAACCTCCATTAAAGTAGCTGCGGCATGTCACCAGCAAGCAGAACCCATCCGGAAAAAAATGTGGTTAAACTTTGTATTTTAGTGTCTAGAATTTCTTTCCAAGCCCTCTCAGGTTTTATGTGGATTTAACTAACACATGTTAGAGTGCCAATTTGAATAATTTGCTGAGACAGTAAAGGCAAAAATACTTTGAAAACTGAGCACTTATGTAAAGTAGGCTTCACTGTGCTTTGTCGTTACCCTACTAAAAGACCACAACACTTGCATGGAATTAACATTCTATGCATCTTAGAATGTGTATATGGAAAAAGATACACGGAATCCCAGTGGTGGTAGCTGCTCATCAAGATCAGTCTGATATGGCTGAAGCACCAACGGTCCCCCAGAATCATCAATCACCCACCCAGTCAACATTCGTGTAGACTGGTACCAGAGAACCCTGTTACAGAATATGCTGGGCTGGGACATGACTTGGTGGAGAGTGTGCCCGGGTGAGACCCGGGGTTTGATCCTCAGTATAAGGAGAAAAACAACCTCTTGGGCAGCTTGTTCATTTGCTAAGGATTTGGCCAGTGTTTGTTTCAGTTTGCTTACCTTCACTTTTTGATAGATGTATTTTGAATCAGTGACCAATAACACCAGGATGAGATTTTGAGGATAATTTAATTTGCATAAATGTGCCTCAATTCAAGTTAAAACTTTACAAAATCATTTCTGCTTTCTTTCAAACTCTATACCTTGCATTTTTCTTATATACATGGAAAGCATAAAACCAGCCCTCAAATATATCGTATAACTGTTTATACTTATGATTTTCCCAACAAAGATCACTGCAAACACTAGAAATCATTAATTAGGAACTTTTCCTTCATCCCATTAAAATATAAGTTAATGTAATTTTTAAAAATATTTTCAAGCCTCATGTAGCTTCAGTATCAGTGGATGGTAGTGCCTGGCCTTAACCTTCTGATGCTCCTTATCCCTCCTCACTGGGACTAGAATTATCAACATAGACAGCTATGTTTTGTGACGGGATTAGCAAACATGATACTTTGTGTATGCTAAGTCATACTACAATTCTATCCTTTCAATAAATATCATTGTAAAAATATCAATAAATACTACATTGCATTATTATAGTGTATCAATAAATATACATTGTTTAAAAAGCTATTAGGACACAATCTGATTGGTGAATGAACTATATAAATAATAATAAATAATATCTTTAATATATAGATGATTCCTTGTGATTAAAGGATGCTGGTTTTGACCATGAGGCATATTCTTGTTTCTATTATTTTTAAAATGTGAAACCTCAGCCGGGCGGTGGTGGCGCACGCCTTTAATCCCAGCACTTGGGAGGCAGAGGCAGGCGGATCTCTGTGAGTTTGAGACCAGCCTGGTCTACAAGAGCTAGTTCCAGGACAGGCTCCAAAACCACAGAGAAACCCTGTCTCGAAAAACCAAAAAAAAAAAAAAAAAAATGTGAAACCTCTTAGTAACCTTATCTTGATCTGGGGTATTTAGGTAACAGTTCAATGTAGCGGTTTAGTAAGAAAGAACTTACCTCTTGGACAAACAGAAGGTATCGCCTTGACATTTTCATTCTGAGTAAAAGCAAGGCTTAGACTGAAAGTGGGAATTTAAGAAGGTTTGGAATTTCTTTTATGAATAAAGAACTCAAATTTTCCATTTGGAACTCTCATTAATTACAGAGGCAGAACACACACACACACACACACACACACACTGTGTATGTCTATGTTTATACATACCACTGGCATACTTTTTGAAGTATACTTTGTATACTATGTTTTTCCTGCAATTGAATAAATATTCTTTTATTTCCTTAAAATAAACTAATCTGAGGACAGGCAAGATGGCCTAATAGGTGAAGGCCGTGGCACTGACCACTGAGTCTGACACCCCAAGTTTGATCTCCCGTATGCAGCCGTGAAAGAAGAGAAGCAATTCTACAAAGTGTCCTCTGACCTCAGCACCTGCGTCATAGCATGTGCACATCCAGACATATCCACACACAGTGGACTAACAATCCAACAAATGAAAAATGCTAAGTACAATAAAATTACATACAGTACTGCTAAACTAATGTTAACAATGAAGATATAAAAGCGTGAGAATTTTAAGGTAAAACGGAGCTTTGGGTCCTGGAGGTCTGTGGTACCCTGAGCGTGTCTATAGCTGATTACAGCTCTACTTCCTGCCAGGGAAACAGCAGAAAGCCCTTTGAGATACATTCCGGCGTTATCCTCCTCACACGTCGACACAATGGACTTTTGACGAATGTCTAAAGCTTTCTTTTTCTTTGTCCACAGTCGCAGAATGCATCCCCTAAGCAAAGGAAGCAGAGTGTGTACACACCGCCTGCCATGAAAGGTACTGTTCAGGTACCGTTTTGGGGTGTCGTGAACGGTGGTTGTCAGGGCTGTTCTGTAGATTGCGAGCTCGTCTCAAGGCTGTGATGGGGAAGGCATTTACATCTCAGAAGCATTGTTCCCTTACGGGTGAGGCAGGCAGCTGAGGATTGGATGACAGCCGAGTCCCAGAATCTTAGCATGGGGAAACACATTTTCAAAATAATGACGAAGATTTTTTTCTTTCACCTTTCTTTGTACCGTTTCTGCGAATTTTTCCAGACTCTAGTTATGCTTGCTGATTGGCGCATGACTATCAGGAGTTCGGGGTTTTGTTGGTTTGTTTTTTATTTTGTTGTTGCCCCCCCCCCCCCGCCGCCCCTTAATTCAAGGAAAGCAGAGGAGTTTGAGCTAGGTGGAAATGGAATGCCAAGGGTTGCCTCGCTGCCTCGTGTCAGGAGCCACTCTGCTGAACCCCAAGTAGCACCAATTTGTGGAGCTCTTGCCCGCTGCCCAATCACAGCAGAGAATGCTAGCTCAGATGTTGGCGTTTCCCCAGACTTTCTCTTCAGCGTGGAACTGCCAACTAACATCTAAGTGTATCAGTATTTTGACTAATACTAGTTCCAAGAAAGGCTTCTTTTCTTTTTCACACACAAATGTTCCTGACACAAGCAGCGTCTGTCCAGGCCAGTATCTTGCCTCCCAGCTTGGCTCCCTGGCTGTTGGCTCTGGGTTCATCACCCAGAGCCCTCCAGCTCTGACTCAGTGCCCCAGAAGCCAGCGGGGAAGCTTAGCAGTCAAAACCGGGAGTGAGAGTTCCCACTTTTTCTCCTCTTTTGGGGGAGGGGGATAGAAATGGATCCATAGCTACTCTCAGCAAATCTCATCCTTATGCAATTATAAGAGGGTGAGTGTGTTTGTACAAGAATGAGTACATGATACATTATCTGCATTGGAGTTTATCCCAAAGCAATTGCTGAAATTCCTAGGCATCCTTGTCTAAAGATTAGTGTGGCATTTTAAAGATATTTCTTCGTTGTAAGTGATTTGTATTCTTCAAGACATTTAAGTTTTGGCATGAATGGGCAACAATGAAAGATAAATGTGTAATTGACCAATTCTTTCCTCTGTTTTATTTTGGGATAGCTTAAGCTAAATAAAGTAGTCCTCAAGTCCTCAGAGAATAACTATATTATTTTGAAAGGAAAATCTTAAACTCCGAGGCCTGAGGGGCCGTGGTGCTCATTATTTTTAGCTCCCAAATATTTTAAGAATGTGGGATTCTAGCATTAAGGAAGCTAGTTCAACCGAAGTATTTTAAATATAACTTTACCCTGTGGAGCCCAGAGACTGTTCTTCAACAACCACCATCTACAATAATGAGGTGAAGCCTGAAGGGAGCACAGCCATGCTTTCGTGAAGGGATCTGGGTATTGATACAAGTCACTTCCTGAATATCTCTGTTAGTTTTCAGCTTATGGCAGAAGAGAAGGGCAATTCTAAATGATTCCCCCCATCTATCTGTTCCTAAGAGCTGGAAATGGGTGTCTGAAGACCAAGTGAACCAATGGTAACATATGGTCTATTTTGAGTAAAGAGAGTAGCTTTAATCATAAGACGGATGGCTGAACACAGGGAGTGTTGTTGAGATGGTAAAGACACTGATGTAGTTGTCCCAAATGGGAAGTTCTTCGGATTGCAGGGGAGCAGTGCACAGTGCGAAAAGTGAGAGTACAATGACTTGCAGGGGTGTAAGGCACCCCCAGAGGCAATTAACAGTTGTGAAACGAGCAAACCAACAAGCAAACAAAACAACAACAGAAACTAGGAGGCAATTGTGCCTGAAATATTCTTCCTCCCTCAAAACTTAATTCTTCTTCGTGCAAGCAACATCGAATTAGATTTTGCTGGCACCCATATGCATTGTTGACAGATAGCAAACTATGAATCTAAGGTTTCTTCACCTCCATTTCTACTGATTTTCATATTCTCCCATCATTTCTTGCTGTCAAATTATAAGCCTTTTTTTGCTTCAGCATTGTCATCTCAATCGGATTTTCTACATCTAGAGCTGGGCTGTGGAATTGACAGGTCATAGTTTGTCTTCCGATTCTACCATCTGTTATGATTTCAGTGCTCTCAATGGTATGCCATCTACAGAGAAAATAATTTTCTCTTTCATATTCTTAATACAAATCCATTACAATTCTGTCAAATGGAACAAAACGCAGACAGAAAAAGAGAGTGCCCCGAAGCACTTGGGTCTCCCTCAGGTTCACGCTCGCTTCGGCTGCCATGATTTAGCAATTATCCACCAGACAGAACAGAAGGCTCTCCCTTTGCATCCGAGGTCCTCGGAGGCTCTCATCTTTGACAGGATGAGGTACTTCAGATGTCCTGTGCTCACCACACTTTTTATAATATACAGATCAACCATAAATTTAAGATATATATTGTACTTCAAAATGACAGACGTTGACATTTTCATCAAAAACACTGACTTTTCCCTCGCACTATAAGGAGGGTCCCTGTGAACTCTCCTGGGGTTTATTTGTGTGGTTGTCAGCCTGCAGTTTACAGAACAGTCGATTAAATTATTGTTGGACTGCTTGAGTCTTGTTTTCAGGAAAGCAAAGTGAATTTGAATCCTGGCACCGAAACTGGCTAACTCATTTCCCCGCTGTGTGTGTGTATGTGTTTGTGTGTGTGTGTGTGTTCTACTGGAATTCAAATGTGATTTACTGCAAAGTAAGTGCTATTGATTTCAATGGAACCTGAACATTAAACAAAGGGGAAGATAGGAAACCCACTTAGTGTGCAGAGCCCATTAGTATTATATTTCTATTCTTAATGTACAGCAAGCCGTATGTTCCCTTTACTTCACAAACATCTCCTCTCAGATTTCTCGTAAAGGAAAATTTTACTTGCTTCACTGCCCCGTGAGCGCTCTTCTGAGCTAAAGGGTCAGGTCGATCTTCAGATGGAGAAGGCATTTTCACTCCAACCTCTTATTTTTAATTTTTCCAAAGACTGCTGCATTCATAAATTCTTAATCTTATTTTAGTCTCCTCTCATAAAAGAGCCACAAATGAAAATACAGAACAACTCAGTGTAGAAATCGAATGGCCTAATAGAAAGGCTAAAACAGTTCTAAGGAGGGGCCTCAGACCGGGGCAAGAGGGGTGGGATATTACTGAAGGATGATCCGTCTGATCTGCAGGGGAAGTTGCTTGTCACACTGATTTCAGGGGAACTAACATGAAAGAACATGGATTTTGAGGGGCAGCTCATCAGGGTCTCTAGCTTGACATCTTCGTTTGTGAGCTGAGCCACCTTCAGAAACTCAGGGTCAATCTTTGAGTCTTCTATCGTTGGCGCCATGGAGATCATCGGGAAGCAAGCAGAACGTGAGCGGAAAATGCTTAAAATAGGCCTATCGGAACTGGGTCCATTTTAAGTAGTTATTTGGACCCTCTGTGGAGAATGAGGTGCAGCCACGCCATCTCCATCAAGGCCTTCGGAGTTGAGCAATGAGAAAATGCGGAAAGCATAGCCCCGGCTGGGGAAAGAATGAAACCTGCTGCAGATCTGCCCTTGCCCAAGGGGAATGCAGTCAGCTTTAAGGGTACCTGATCCTACAAAGCATGGCTTCACCGCAGCTTGCAAACAAGACTATGATTTTATTCAGCTCAGCTACAGGCAAACTTAGAAAGTATTCTTTGGCATTCTGGTTCCCTTTCAACACAGTATGGGCGCGGCTTCATTTCACCCAGCAGCTCCTCACAGATGCCATGTCCCGCTTTCCCAAGCGAACTAACAGTGCAATCAGACATAGTTTCCAGAAAGAGGAAGAGCGAGGTTTTGGCTATGGTGAATTTGGATGCAGACACAAAGAGTACAGTAAATGTGTCTTGTGACGAGGCTGAGTGCTCTGTGGACTCACAGCTCAAAGACAGTGCAAGTAGATTAACAGGGATTGTACTGTGACTGTGTCTCGGGAAGTTCCCGGAAGGAAGCAGTCCCGGAAGGAATCGGTCAGCTCCACACTCTCCTGCCATTACTAAGTACTGTACAGAAACGGAGGCAAAAACAGAGGGACGGGGCATTGGAGCTGCTTACTAGGGCGTTTCCACCCCGTCTGTCTCCTGAGAACACTGGTTCTTAACTTTCCTAATGTCACGACCCTTTAATACAGCTCCTTGTGTTGTGGTGACCCCCCAACCACATTTTCATTGCTACTTAATAACTTTGCTACTGTTATGAATTGTAGTGTAAACATCTGACATGTGACCCCGAGGTCTTGTGACCCTCTGGGTGAAAACTGCTTTAGAGAGTCTCTGGCTTTCTGCAGCTCCTCTGCAGGTATTCATTACATCAGTTTTCTAAATCTTGGAGGGTTTTTATTTTCACTGGTGTTTTGTTTTGTTGCAAGATTTTTGTTTGTTTTGTTTTCGAGGGGTGTGTGTGTGTGTGTGTGTGTGTGGTGTGTGTGTGTGTGTGTGTGTGTGTGTGCCAGTTTAGTTTATTTACTATGCAGGGTAGGGTTCACTTGTTCAATGCACTGTTTCTTGGTAACAAGGCACATTCTAAATATGCACAAATCTTGCTCCTTAAAAGCTGCGCTCTCTTCCATACCCACTTCCTCCACCACTCTCTAATTACTCCCTCTAGTTTTAAGTTTATCTTCCTTCATATCTGAAAACGCAGGTTGGGGAACTAAGAATGCTCCCTGCTCTGACGTCAAGTAGATGCCTTTCTTTCTTTCTAAGGACAACATTGAGAGAGAGTGGAGCAAAATAAGGGAACAGACATGGACTTCTTGTCATACAGCATCAACATAGACTACTAACTTAAGAGGATTAAGGAATCGGGAGATGAATTAAACCTCAAAATTGAAAATTGGGATAAGTACTTTAGTCAACTTCATGATGCCGCTTAAAGCACTTGAAAGTGAGGACACCATTTAATGGGCGTAACATATCCTGAAGAAGAGGGAAAGCAGGTCAGGGAGCCCGAGCC